AAGAAGTCTATAGTCCAAGATAAAATAATTAACCAAACAGTACAGTGTAAAATACAGTATAAATTCTTTCTCAGTTGTTGTCTTCATAATATATTACAACAATCAAGAGTATTACTTTCTCTTTAGTTCCTTTGGAAGGTCTGAGAAGTCAAAGCCAGTTCGATGAGATGAGAGCAAGTTATATTAGAGAACTGGTCAAGGCAATTGGTTTGCGGCAGAAAGGAGTTGTGTCCAGCTCACAACGTTTCTATCAGCTTACAAAACTTATGGACTCCATGCATGATGTAAGTTTGTTTCTCGGGAGGTAGGGGGGCAAGGTTTATACCAGATACAAGAACCATTCCTTAAAGTAAATTTAAAAAAATATATACATATATTGGGATGTTTGCGGTGTCCAGACAGAGTTGGACACATCTTCAGGGCAAAAATCAGTGCACAATTAACCAGATGTTCACATTTTTATTTATAGAGGATTCAATTGTATGGAAAACATATATTTAAAATGCCAGTCCATTTTTTATATTTCTGTTAATATTAGTTCAGAGCTGTGGTATGTGTATTTCTATATATTACAGACAAAAAAAACCATAAAAAGAATATTATAAAGGTAGCAAAGGCATACTCAAATGATAGGAAATGCCAGAATTAAGGTTGCTTGTGAGAGCAACCTTAATTTGGCCTCATTGTGCATACATATTACAATGCAGTCTTTAATTACATGATCACATACAATTTTTTCCACAGGACCTCTGCCTTAATTATTCTATTTCTTACTTTTTCAGTGTTTGACTTTGCAATCTTAACAATGTTCTGTTAACATTTTTTTTGTGTGTGTGTAATTTCCTACATTTTAAAAAGCCAAATGAAAAAAACAGAAATTCCATTGTGGTATTATTGACATCAGTGTGGTTCATCGGTAGCATTGAAATTTTTATACCCACCTTAAAGACCTCTGCCACTTGAGTGAAGTGACTAACTAATAGCATTAGTGGGTTGTCATTCTCTGTGGACCCAGCACTAGAGGAGGATGGGACATACACACACTTTGCCAATGAGTTTCACAGATATTTGCTGACAGCAGAGAAATAATGAGACTCAGGAATCTTGGGTTCCAGTCCAGTCTCTGGAGGGGAGTGTGTCTAGTGGATACAGATTCTTCTGCCCATTTCCCCCAAGTTTCACCCCTTCTTCTCCTCCAACTTATCCCTTTTCCAGTCCTGTCTCTTCCCCTCTCGTAGCTGACAGTTCCAGTCTCCTCACCCAGAAAGTCCCGAGTCCCCATCTCCTTGCCCAACCATTCCCAGTTTTCCCTACCCTATAGTTCCTTGTTCCCAGTCTCATTGCCTAGCCTCCTTTAGTCCCACCCCAGCTCCTTGTCCAAACTATTTCTCGTCCTGACCCACATTCCCTGTCCCCCAGCTCCAAACCCAACTCTTTGTCACAGTTTCCTTTTTCCTCCCCAGGCAGCCTTCAGTCCCAGTCTCCACCTCTCACGCTCCTTGTTCCAAGCCAAGGAGAGGGCAGGCTGGGGCTGAGAAAGGGAAGGATGCAATGGGAGGCTGGGACTAGCTGGGCAAGGAGACTGAGGTTGGGGGAAGCGAGGAGACTGGGACTGGGAGCCAGTGAGGAAAACAAGAGGGACATGAGGAACTGGGAAGCATTTAAATGATGGAGGAAACTGTGATCAGACCAGGAATTGGGAGACTATTAGAATTGGCAGGACGAGACTGGGACTAGCCCCAATGGAAGGGGGATAGAGGTCTGGGGGCAGGGGAAACAGTTGACAAGGAGTTGGAGGGGGAAAAGTGGGAGTGGCTTGGCAGGGAGACTGGGATAAAGAGCCAGAGAGAGGATGGGTGGGATGACTGAGATTGAATGAGGAGCCTGGGGAGGAAGATTAAGACTGGGAACTAGTGGAGGGGGAGGGGAAAGACAGATCAGATGAGAAGCCAGGAGGGAGAACTGAGGCTGACTGGGCAAGAACACTGGGACTGAGTATGAGGAGAGAGAGAGACTGAGAGTAGAGGGAGATTGGGATTCAGATAGCGAGCCCAGATGGGGAAACTAGGATTGGCTGGGCAAGGAGACTAGGACTTGGATGAGAAGTCTGCGGAATGGAGACTGGGACTGAGTAGGCAAGTAAAATGAGACAAGGATGGGGTGGGGAAGAGAAAAGACTGGGGCGGACAGGCTGGAGGGGACGGGGAAGCAATGGCAAAGCTTATAGAAAGTGGGCAGAAAAATCAGTACCCACGAGAGTACGCTCCCCTTGAGAGCCTGGAATGGAGAACCTCATGCTTGTTCACATATAGGATAACAACCTATTACTGCTGTCACTTAGCTCAAGTGGCAGAGTTCTGTGATGTGGATCTAAACATTCCAACCATGAAAAATGAACCATGTTGGTGTCAATGTGATGCCACATGATGGAGTTTCTGTATTTTCAGTTTGCTGTTTTTAAAACCTAGGAAATTACACACACAAAAACACATTCAAAGAACATTATTAAGTTCAGAAAGTCAAGCATGCAAAAGTTAGGAAATATCAGAATTACAGATGCCTGTGCTATCATGCACATAGGCTTATAGACTCATGGATTTTAAGGTCAGAAGAGACCATTGTGATCATCTAGTCTGACCTCCTGCACATTGTAGGCCACAGAACCTCACCCACTCCTGAAATAGATCCCTAGCCTCTGAATTACTGAAGCCTTCAAATCATGGTTAAAAAACTTCAAGTTTCAGATAATTCACCATTTACAATAGTTTAAACCTGCAAGTGGCACATGCCCCATGCTGCAGAGAAAGGTGAAAAACCCACAGGGTCTCTGCCAATCTGACAAGGGAGAAAGTTCCTTCTCGACCCTAACTATGGTGATCAGTTAGACCCTGAGCATGTGGGCAAGACCTGCCAGGCAGATACCTGGGAAAGAATTCTCTGTAGTAACCCAGAGCCCTCCCCATTTAGTGTCCCGTCTCCAGCCATTGGGGATTTTTGCTACTGGCTGTCACTGATGGGCTACATGCCATTGTAGGCAGTTCCATCATACCGTCCCCTCCATAAATTTATCAAGCTCAGTCTTGAAGCCAGTTAGGTTTTTTGTTCCCACTGCTCCCCTTGGAAGGCTGTTCCAGAACTTCACTCCTCTGATGGTTAGAAACCTTCACCTAATTTTAAGCCTACACTTATTGATGGCCAGTTTATATCCATTTGTTCTTGTGTCCACATTGGCCCTCAACTTAAATAACTCCTCTCCCTCCCTTGTATTTATCCCTCTGATGTATTTATAGAGAGCAATCATATCTCCCCCAGCCTTCTTTTGGTTAGGCTAAGCAAGCCAAGCTTTTTGAGTCTCCTTTCATAAGATAGGCTTTCCATTCCTCAGATCATCTTAGTAATCCTTCTCTGCACCTGTTCCACTTTGAATTCATCTTTCTAAGCATGGGAGTCCAGAGTTGCACACATTATTCCAGATGGGGTCTGACCAGTGCCTTGTATAATGGTACTAACACTTCCCTGTCTCTACTGGAAATACCTCACCTGCTGCATCCTAGGACTGAATTAGCCTTTTACACGGCCGCATCACATTGATGGCTCATAGTCATCCTGTGATAGACTTAGGTGTATTGGTCATTCTCCTCCTCCGTCACTTTCAACTGATAAATCTCCAGTTTATAGCAAAAATTCTCGTTGTTAGTCCCTAAATGCATGACCTTGCACTTTGCACTATTAAATTTCATCCCAGTTCTATTACTCCAGTTTACAAGGTCATCCAGATCTTCTTGTATAATATTTGAGTCGTCCTCCGTATTGGCTATACCTCCCAACTTTGTGTCATCAGTACATTTTATTAGCACAATCTCACTTCTTGTACGAGGGTCAGTACTAAAAATGTGAAAGAAAATTGATCCCAAGACCAATCCCTGAGGAAATCCACTAGCAACCTCCCTCCAGCCTGTCTGTTCACTTTTCAGTATGACCCATTGTAATCGCCCTGTTAACCAATCCCTTAAACATTTTTCAGTTCTCATATTGATCCCCATCTTCTCCAATGTAACTAATAATTTCCCATGTGGAACTGTATCAAGTGCCTTACTGAAATCTAGGTAGATTAGATCTACTGTGTTTTCTTTGTCTAAAAAATCATTTATCATTTAAAGAAGGAAATCAGATTGGTCTGGCATGATCTACCTTTTGTAAAACCATGTTGTATTTTATCCCAGTTACCGTTCACCTCGTGTCCTGAACTACTTTCTCTTTCAAAATTTGTTCCAAGACCTTGCATACAATTGAGGTCAAACTAACAGGCCTGTAGTTTCCTGGATCACTTTCCCTCCCTTTCTTAAAAATAGGAACTATATTAGCAATTCTCCAGTCATAGGGTCTGACCCCCGCAGGTTACAGATTCATTAAAAATCCTTGCTATTGGGTTTGCAATTTCATGTGGCAGTTCCTTTAATATTCTTGGCTGGAGATTATCCTGATTTAGCCCCATTAAGCTGTTTGAGTTTGACTTCCACCTCAGATATGATAATTTCTACCTCCGTATCATTATTGCCATTAGCCACCTTGCCACTACCCCTAGGCTCTTCATTAGCCTCATTAAAAACTGAGGCAAAGTATTTGTTTAGATTAGGGATTGGCAACCTTTGGCACGCAGCCTGTCAGGGAAATCCACTGGCAGTCCAGGACGGTTTGTTTACCTGCAGCATCCGCAGGTTCGGCCGATCACATCTCCCACTGGCCGCAGTTCGCCGTTCCAGGCCAAGGGGACTGTGGAAAGTGGTGGCCAGCACAGGCCTCAGCCCGCACCACTTCCCATAGCCCCCATTGGCCTGCGGTTAGCAGTAGTTTGAAGGTGTGCAATTAGAGAGGCAGGGGTTTGCAAGTAATGAAAGGGTGGTTTTATGAGTAAGAAAGTTGAATGATGCCCTGGAGAACTGGAGTTTATTCCTGCCTCTGTCACAGAGTGTCTTTGTGATGCTGGGCAAGTCGCTTAAGTCAGACTTTACACTAATTCTGTGATCCTCATTTTCTACCTTGGGATATGATTTGCAGAAGCTGAGCACTCACAGCTGAAACTGAAGTCAATGGGAGCTGTGCATTGAACACTTTTCAATTCTGAGTTGTAGCATTTGAAAAATCAGGTTCTGGGTCCCTCAAATAGGGCACTCAAAATTAGTGGGCACTTTTGGCCTTCATCTCTGTGCCCAGGGCCGGTTCTAGGCACCAGCTGAGCAAGCTGGTGCTTGGGGTGGCAGATTGTTGGAGGCAGCATTCTGCCCAATACTAGGGCAGCATGGCCATTTTTTAATTTTTTTTATTTTGTTCTTGTTCTGCTCCGGCCGCCCTGCTGCGGCTGCGTCGCAGGGTTGTTGTTTTTTTTTTGCTTTGCCATTCTGCCGCCCCGTTTTTTGTTTTTTGTTTTTTTTTGCTTGGGGTGGCCAAAAAGCCAGAGCCTGCCCTGTCTGTGCCTCTGTTCTGTAAACTGGGGAATAATATCACATTCTCACCTCGCAGGGGTTTTGTGAGGATAAATTGATATTAGTGAAGTTGTCAGATACTATAATGGTGAGCACTATAGAAAAGCCCATGAGGAATTTAATCATTCTGTTTTCAGAGCAGGGTTGAGTAGTGTGCAGTGAATAAGTCATGGGACCACATCTTGCACAATGAGGATAAAAAAATATTAAATGAGGACTATCTGTCCTGTTCATTGAATGAAGCTGGGGATATTTTACAATGGGGTTAGTGTTACCCCTTTTTTTAATATACTGAAGTGTTCATTTAGATATGTTCATGACTTCTGAAGTGAAAAGACTTTTTGGCTTGCAAGGCAAGACTGTGCACAGTATGATTTCATGGGTGATAGACATATGTAAAATGACATTGATTGAATGACATATTTAAAATATCAGAGGGGTAGCCGTGTTAGTCTGAATCTGTAAAAAGCAACAGAGGGTCCTGTGGCACCTTTGAGACTAACAGAAGTATTGGGAGCATAAGCTTTCGTGGGTAAGAACCTCACTTCTTCAGATGCATAAAATAAACAATCATCGGTCGTGTTTAGATAAACGTATAATGTATTATTAGTAGTCTAAATTCTCACATGTTTGTATTTCATTAAAACCAGCTAGTGAAACAACTCCACCTGTTCTGTCTGAACACATTTCTCCAGTCCCGGGCACTGAGTGTCGAATTCCCGGAAATGATGTCAGAAGTGATTGCCGCCCAGCTACCCAAGATTCTGGCAGGGATGGTGAAACCTCTCCTCTTTCACAAAAAGTGAAATGTCTTTTCTCTTACTGAAGAGACAATTTTTGTGCCTTTTTTGTTTGTTTATTTTGATCAGGAATTTGCGGTTTATTTTGGTCAGTATTTTGCAGTGTCAGGACTTTAGGATATTTGTTCTATTTACCATACCTACCACCTAACTGTGTAAGTTTGATGTCCATATTGTGCGCTCCTGATTTATTTTACTGTTAAAATCACAACTGATGTTTGTCATAAGAAAAGTTTTGTAAGCCAGAATAGGTTGCTTCTTAGGAATTCACAAGAACAATACTTAAACGGAATCTTTAGTTGTCTAAGAACAGTTATCTTGTACATTTTTTCTTTCATATTATTCCTTTGAAAACTTGTGCTATGACATGGAGTAAACTTTTACTCTTGTACATTGGGTGGGTGGGTGGGTTCCATATGTATAAATATTAAAGGTCTGAAGAAATTAAAATGTACATTAGCCACATTTACTTATGGAAATTTCCCCTTTTACTTACTAACCTGCCTCTCTGAAGTAGCATTTCAAAATACAGTATCCAGGTTTAGTGGTACAGTATCTTCACAAGTAGTTAGCATAGTGGCAAGAAAATGTACATTTTGTGTGAGTGTGTGTATGTGTGTGTCCATACCAAAGTAAAACTAAAGCAATTCTCTGCAAAGATTGGAAGGATTAAGGAAATGCCAGTATTTGCCTCCCACTGAATACAGTGTATACAGTAGAATATACACACACACATACTGCTGTCATTACTGTTTCTCCTTAACAATATGACACTTATCAGTAAAGCTAAACCACTTAACTCTCATTTTAAACTTACAAATTTTAAATTTAATTCATATAGCCCCTACTGTATCTTTTAGACGCTTTAAATCTATTTTAGTTACGTGTCTCTCTTTAACATTCAGTAATGTTTAATGACTACAGCCTTTGGTGATCATAATGTGCTACTGGATAACTGAAACACCCAATAAAATCAAATTATAGAGAGATCAAATACAAAAAGAAATGGAAAGAATGATTACCGAAGCTTTGATACACACCAGTCTCATTATAATGCCATTCAGTGGACCTTTGTGAGGTTTACAGAGACAAGTGATTATAACTGGAATAATTGTAAAGGAGGGTAATGTGGCTGTGAGTACAAGTAAAGTACCCTTATATGATCGAAGAGAATGTCATAATTTTTATAATGCGAGTGAAATGTTTTACTGAAGAATTGCTGTGATTTTTTTTTTAACATGGATATGAAACACCTCACATGTTTACTTCAGTCAGTTAGGTTCAAACAACATAGGAATAGCTCAACAGGAAACAATAGCCAACTATTAGGCTACAAAATCATTAAAAGCATTAGTGATTTTATCTGCCCTTGGAAGCCATGTCCTGTTGCTCCAAAATTCCCAGAAATACCTTCTCCAGGGATTGGCATGCGGATGGGGTGGTGCCTCCAAGAAGTGCATGAGAGCAAGCTACACTAAAAATGAGAATAAAGATGAAAAAAACCTAGCCAAATAGTTACAAAAACAGAACAAGCAGGGTGCAGAGAAATGCCCCAAGATAAGCTGGGACAATGTCACTTTCTTTTTGAATGACTAGATTTGAAATTTTGACTGTCTATAGACAAGTGATTTTGATTTTTTTCCACCACAGCCTGACTTTAACTCTGATCCTCATAACATTTATATTTTAATAAATTATAGGCTTAAGCTGCAAGAGTTCTTTGTTTTTGCATTAGGAGAGTAGTGGTAGGCTTTTTTGTTAGTAGCATTTTCATTCACTAGTTAAATTTGTACCCAGGCTACATGCTTTCTTCCACTTGCTCACTAATCCATTGCATAATAATACCATTTCTGCAAGCTGTCTGGGAAGGTGACCATTGCTGGGGGTCTTGAAAACAGTATGGCAGGATTTATCATTCACTAACTACACTATTCACTGTCAGTAACCTATTCTGCCATGCCAGAAAATCATCCTAACCATCCCACCATTGAATTTGGAATATGGAACAGTGAATCTGATCTCCTTAAGAATACCTCTACATTCAGGCTACATAAATCTCTGACTCCATTTCTGCAATATGTATCATCAGCAAGAGCTTAAGCTGCCATCATCTTTTGGGAATAAATAGTAAATTGCAAAAGAAAGTTTTCCAAACTAAAAAATGTTTTAAGCTCTAGATCTCAGAAAAGGGTATCCATAACAGCATGCTCACCATTGTATATTTTGCAGTGTGCAGCCACCTGACAAGTCTGTCTAAATTTGGCCTTCATACCATTTGAAAATCCTGTGTTCAGTGCTGCATCATCTACATTTAGACAAAACAGCTTTGAGCTTTTCCTGCCCTGATCCCCATGTAAATCCTAAAGCTGTTTTATTCCCTAGTTTGAAACCATCATCTGTCTTTGATTCCAACTGTATTGTGTCAGAAAACAGAACACAGGTTTTTCCATAGTGGACAGATCTAATGGGCAGCAACTCTTGATCAGCTACAGACCTGTCCAGGAATCCAGCAGCAAGCACACTAATAAACGTAGCTTTCTGTAGGATTTTCTGAGACTTTGCAGTTGTCTATATAAAGTTTTTCATTGCATGGATGGTTAAGATTAAGGTAATTTTTGACCTGCAAGCTGCAAATATCTCTAAAACTGTCATGTTTAATGATTGTGTAAGTGGGATTTAAATGAGGTGTCACAATTCTGGATCTCCTCATGCTGAATTTTACAGCGCAGTCTAGTAATAGGAGTCTTATGGGCAAAGTGTGGCAGTCTATGAGCAGTAGAGCAATCTCATACATGGACAGGATACATTTTAGAAGGCTTGCCCACTTCTGAGGGGACTGTACTAATGAACTTTCTGATTCTTTCTGCAAATTACACAAATCTTTTCCTCTTTCTACCATAATACCAATGATTACTTAGTTTTCTGCAAATTCGGGAAAGTGGGTTTAGGTCCAAGTCTCTCATATTCATTTGCATGTTCTTCTGTTCTATCTGCTTTATGTTTTCTTTGCCCGAGGCTTTCAGTATTAACCTCTGCAGCTTCAGACTGATCTTCTTTAAAAAAACAAAACAAAAGAAAAACAACCTTCCAGGGTCAGTTGAGCATTACTGCAATTTTTCACCTTTTGTTGAGCGCAGCCATGCCTGGGTGTATGTGTATATATATATATTATACAAATGATTGATTTGCAAATTAAACTGCTTGGGCCTGGCAGAAGCAGTTATGTTTGCAACTGGAAGGCTGTAACAAAGTGTTAAAGAGAGAAACTAAGCAACTTCCCACTGTCACCAATTAGCCCACTCTGTTACATATAACCTGAACCTGTTTAGTTCTCATAATCATCCAAGAAGGTCAAGAAGACCCCAGACAGACCAAGCATAGACCTGACCTATTTCTTGTTAGCAACTATGACCCAGGAAAGTATAGTCTGTGTGCTGTATCTGGGCTTTGTCGAGAGCCCATTCAAGTCAATGGTTGTCATTTCAATGGGCTTTGGATCAGGCCTGCTGGTCTGACATCATAAACTCAAGCCTGGATATTTTTGAACTTCAGCTGTTCCTGGAGCTGTATTGCAAGCACATTTTCTAGTTTCATGTCTAAAAAGAATAGTTAAGAACTGAGCCTGTAATTTTAAATAGCAGAAGATGGAACGAAGTCTTCTTTAATTGAGGCTTCTCTATCACTTGCTTTAAATTGTGGAAACAAACCTGTCACAGTGATTAGTTAATACAGTTGGATAAAACAGATAACCTCCCTACATCCCAAAAAGAACTTTGTTGGGCCAGGATCCACACTGCAGGTGGTGGGACAAGGCTCAGCAACTTAACTTCATGGTTTTCAACTTGAAATTAATCTAGAAACCTTGCACCAGATGGAGGATTTGTGGCATCAAAAGGTCTGCTAAGAACTCTTGAGTGTTTAGTGGCTCTCACGTGTCCTAATCTAAAAGCATAGAAATGACTCAGATGAGGCTATAAACCAGTGGCAGGAAACAAATACTGTCAGTAGTGAATCCCCTACTGCCCCAGGGAGCAACAGTGACTGAGAGTGGGGGTGCATGAGGCCCTCTGCTAGGTACTGTAGCCTGTGTGGCTGGGGTGGTGCATTCACAGCTTTTGGGGAAAGAGGTGAGTTTGGTGGCAGAGGCATTATAGACCCTAGGAAGGCATCACTGGAGATATAAGCACTGGCATGACAGCTTTTTTTTGGGGGGGGGGAGGGAAGGGAGAGAGATTATTAGAGTAATTGGAGGTTTGTGGGTCATTTGCTGGGGTAAAATGGTACATGAAAACAAATGGACCAGCATCCATTTACTGCAGCTAAAGATCTGTGTTTACAAGACAGATCAATGTGCTGAATTAGTGTAGTGAAAGCTTTACGCTTGTAGGTGTGTGTTGTAAGTAACGTCTGTTGGTAATACAATTGGGATAGGTGCCAGAGACATAAATAAATACATATCTCTGGCCAGTAGACTGAGCCAGATCCATCTACTCCCCAGTGTTGCAAAAGACTGACTCCCACAAGTTAACACAGCCCCAGAACTGGAGACTGCAGGAAGCTCGCTTACATTAACTCTCCTTCCTCTACACACCATAACAGCTCTGAACAACAGCGATTCTTCTTCCCCCTTAGCCCTTGGGCAGAAGGCTGACCTTTCTTTCCTCTGGATAAGTCAGTCTGCTGCCGCAGAACCAATATCCAAAGCCTTCCCAATTTTGCATGGCTCAGAAGCCTGTGGATATGCTGGCAGACCAAGCCTAGATTGTCAGCCTTATTAGATTTACTGGTTTGTGCTGCTTTGTGTCACAGTGACCTGAATGCTGAACATAGGGTTTGCTTTTAATTTAATTTTTTCCCCTTCAAAGATAAAAGGGGGAGGAGAGAAATATTTATTTTAAGATTGTTAAAAAAGCTTATTATTTACATGACAGTCCAGTTGGTCTGATTAATGTGTTTTGAACGTAACTGGCTTATTTTGCAGTGTTATTGACTCAGTAGGCTGAAATGAGTAGCATACAGTGGCAAATTATGAATTGTCCAAGTGCTTAGACAGCTACATAGAAGAAAAAGGTAGAGGTAGAGTAACAGATTTCAAGCATTAGAACAACACTAAGAAGGGACCTATCCACTCGGAATTAAGGCCACTGATCTGGTACAGCACATGCATAACCCTGACTTGCTATGGCTCTAATCCTGGCAAGACCCTTATGGCTGCATAGCACCTCACTGAATTAAACGAGGCTCCAAACAGACAAATGGGCATGCCCACACATTCCCTTGCGGGATTGGGGCCTGTGTGCAGGATAGCTTGTGAATATGGACATATTTGGCTTTTAAATAGTTGATTCATTAGAAACCAAAGACTTTAAATCCCAGGTTACTA